CAAGTGTTAACTTAGAAAGTTATAAGCCCTTTGGGCACCTATTTTTGTTGTTTAGAAGTTAAATTACATGCTATAGTTTCAAGATGAATGTTTATGAAAATGTAATGCATGTAATATCCTTTGTAAAGGAAACTCTGATGAATGAAAAGATGATGTTTCCCCTATGTTTATGACAATTAGTGAATGGTTGTCTTGAACTTTTTTTGAGGGCGTTACAGGGTGCATTCAAAAGGCTTCATTATCATTCAGAAGCAACAGAGAAACAATAATTATAAGCAAACTAGAGAATTTGGGAAAGATGAGAAATGAAGTTGGAAGACGAGAGAAATGCAATTTTCTTTGGTTGATCAATTTTCTTTGGTTGAGTCAAAAAACAATTTTCTCGAGCATGTTTAATGTTCTCTGTGATGTTCAATTTTCTCTAGATTTCTCTGGTTTAGAATTTCTCTAGAAGAGAAGAGAGAATTGCAATTTTCTCTGGTTTGATCAATTTTCTCTAGTTGAGTCAAAACACAATTTTCTTTACCTTGAATAATTTTCTCCATGATGTTAGAATCCTGTGACAAAAGGGGATAAAAGAGAAGTTTTCAAGTGCATTTTGTTGAGTGATAGAAGTTAGAATCCTGTTATTGAAGTAGGATCAATATTGGTTGTGAGTCATTTTTAAAAGATTGTGAATTAGATTGTCATAATGTTGGTATTTACCTCCACAGTTGGTTCTAGTTTTCGAGTTGTAGGTTGCATAAATTTGAACTCAAAGAAATTTCAATTTTCTTTGGGTTTGGAATGTCTAGAATTTCTCAATTTTACAGATTTATAGTCCAAAGAAATTCAAATTTTTGCTTCTGAACAATTCACAATTCATTTTGACCAATTTTCTCTAGACTGTAAGACAACAACAAACCAGGGAAATTTGGACAACCACCATTTTCATTTTGACCAATTTTCTCTGGACATTCAGCCAACAACAAACCAGTGAAAATTGAACAACCACCATTTTCATTTTGACCAATTTTCTCTGGACATTCAAACAACAACAAACCAGAGAAAATTGAACAACCACCATTTTCATTTTGACCAATTTTCTCTAGACTGTAAAAGAACAACAAATCAGAGAAAATTGAGCAACCACCATTTTCATTTTATCCAGTTTTCTCTGGACATTTAAACAACAACAAATCAAAGAAAATTGAACAACCACCACTTTCATTTTGATCAATTTTCTCTGGACTGTAAAACATTTAGACAACAACAAATTAGAGAAAATTGAACAACCATCATTTTCATTTTGACCAATTTTCTGTGGACTGTAAGACATTTTCTCTGGACTTTATGCTGGGCAATTAGGATGTGATTCTTCCATTTTCGTGCTTAATTTGCCTCAATTTTGCCAGTTTATAATGCCAAGAACAACCTATATCCAGACACAACCCAACTAAAGTTTTGTTAGTTTATAATGCCTTAATTTTCTATGGACTGTAAGACATTTTCTCTGGACTTTATGTTGAGCAATTAGGATGTGATTCTATATCTGTGTTAAGGAAAAGAGAGTTTTTAATTAGAAGGTTTGTGAGAGTTTCAAAGTTGAGAAAATTAGTCTATGGTCCTTATCCCATTTTTAGTAATGGATAAAGTCCACAATATTATTTTATGATATCTAAGGTCCCTCAATCCTGACCCTATATATCATAGAGAAATTTGACAAAATGTCGAACGAATCGAGCATGAAAACTTCGGCTTCATCATCTTCTCCAACCCCCACCACCACCACAACTGCCACCACCACCATCACCATCACCATCACCATCATGGTCTTTATTTTTGTTTTTGATAGATTCATACATAGGAAGCTTCATCAGTTTAACCTCCAAATACAAGATTCGGTACGAGGGTGCCCTTTACAGGAAACCCTTTAGCCTCTCCATCATCTCAAAGAGACCAAACCGTCGCTCGATTCTTCCAACGCTTCTCTCTCCTCTCTCGTTTCTCTCTAAAATCTCAACCAAGGAAAATACAACTCTATTGAAGAAGATAGAGATAGAGATAGATACGAAGTGGTTTCAATCTATTGTCTGTGTCAATGGCGTCAGCGGCGATCTCAGAGAGAGTCCAACTCGTGAAGCTCTGTTGGTCGACTTTCAATAATCAAGCCTTTTGCTATAGTCAATTAGAGCTCCACAAGCACGTCATCAAGAACTACGATAAAGCACTACTGCTCTACTTCAATCATCTTTAAGCTTACATTCTTAAAGGTTTTTTAGTCATATATTCAACTTTTGTGTTATATGTAGCTATTCAATTTTTTTTTTATTCCATTGAATTATTAGTGGTGCCCCTGGTGAGCAGAGCAGATTTTAACTTATGGGTTGGTTTTTATGAGGCAAGAAACAATTTTTTGGCGTCTTGTATGGAGACAACCTATCCTACTAGTGCCATTTACGAATTCATTTATGTGGGCATGGCATTACAAACTAGCAAAACTTTAGTTGGGTCTTGTCTGGATATAGGTTGTTCTTAACTGGCAAAATTGAGGCAAATTAAGCACTGAAATGGAAGAATCATAACCTAATTGCCCAACATAAAGTCCAGAGAAAATGCCTTACAGTCCACAGGAAATTGGTCAAAATGAAAATGATGGTTGTTCAATTTTCTCTGGTTTGTTGTTGTCTAAATATTTTACAGTCCAAAGAAAATTGGTCAAAATGAAAATGGTGGTTGTTCAATTTTCTTTAGTTTGTTGTTGTTTAAATGTCTAGAGAAAATTGGTTAAAATGGAAATGGTGGTTGTTCAATTTTCTCTGATTTGTTGTTGTCTTACAGTCTAGAGAAAATTGGTCAAAATGAAAATGGTGGTTGTTCAATTTTCTTTGGTTTGTTATAGTTTAAATGTCTTACAATCTAGAGAAAATTGGTCAAAATGAAAATGGCGGTTGTTCAATTTTCTCTAATTTGTTGTTGTCTGAATGTCCAAAGAAAATTGGTCAAAATAAAAATGGTGGTTGTTTAAATTTCCCTGGTTTGTTGTTGTCTTATAGTCTAGAGAAAATTGGTCAAAATGAATTGTGAATTGTTCAGAAGCAAAAATATGAATTTCTCTGGACTATAAATCTGTAAAATTGAAAAATTCTGGACATTCCAAACCCAAAGAAAATTGAAATTTCTTTGAGTTCAAATTTGTGCAATCTACAACTCGAAAACTAGTACCAATTGTGGAGGTAAATACCAATATTATGACAATCTAATTCACAATCTTTTAAAAATGACTCACAACTAATACTGATCCTACTTCAATAACAGGATTCTGACTTCTATCACTCAATAAAATGCACTTGAAAATTTCTCTTTTGTCGCCTTTTGTCACAGGATTCTAACATCTTAGAGAAAATTATCCAAGGTAGAGAAAATTGTGTTTTGACTGAACCAAAGAAAATTGATCAAACTAGAGAAAATTGCAATTCTCTCTTCTCTTCCAGAGAAATTCTAAACCAGAGAAATCCAGAGAAAATTGAACATTACAGAGAAAATTAAACATGCCAGAGAAAATTGTTTGTTAACTCAACTAGAGAAAATTGATCAAACCAGAGAAAATTGCATTTCTCTTTTCTCTTTCAACTTCATTCCTTATCTTTCTCAAATTCTCAAATTTGCTTATAATTATTGTTTCTCTGTTGCTTCTGAATAATAATGAAGCCTTTGTGAATGCACCCTGCAATAAATTACAGATTTATAGTCCAGAGAAATTCTCAATAACAATGAAGCTTTGTGAACCAGAATATCTTTGTGAAGTCTAGAAAAAATTCAACCAGAGAAATTATCTGTGAACCAGAATTTCTCTGTGAAGTCTAGAGAAAATTCGTTCAGAGAAATTCTCTAGATCAAATTTTCTCTGAATCAATATTGAGAGACTTTAGACATTAATTTTGAGGGCGTTACAATGAAGCCTTTGTGAATGCACCCTGCAATAAATTACAGATTTATAGTCCAGAGAAATTCTCAATAACAATGAAGCTTTGTGAACCAGAATTTCTTTGTGAAGTCTAGAAAAAATTCAACCAGAGAAATTATCTGTGAACCAGAATTTCTCTGTGAAGTCTAGAGAAAATTCGTTCAGAGAAATTCTCTAGATCAAATTTTCTCTGAATCAATATTGAGAGACTTTAGACATTATAAAAATATTAGATATCCTTTATACTATAAAATCTTAATACTAGGATCTTAAAAAAAAAACCCGAAATATTTTTATAAAATTTAAAATTTAAAAACATACATAAATTTCATATGATATTATATTTTTTAAGGTATAAATTATTTTTATAAAAAAATAATATTTATTTTTATCAAATTAACTTATAATTTTTTTTTAAAAAAAAAATTACCAATTTTTAAAATCAATGGTGATGCTACATGCATTAATTAATATATAAATTAATGTACTAACACTAATTATGATGTTATTATTGACCCTACTTATTAATCACATTACAAATATAAAAAACTTCTTAAATTATACTATATGGTGGATTAATATACTAGTTAGTACACATTTTAGTGTTTATTCAAACCAAAATAGCATTATTGAAACCAAAACTAAAGGAAGCAAGTATTTATTTGCTACACAGTTCGGTACCTACTACTCTCTCTCTCTCTCTCTCCTTGCGCGCACAGGGCTGAGCTTGAAGAAGAAGTCAAGCAGAAGAAGAAGAATTTCTATTTCTTTCATTATTGGACCAAGAATAGCTTACTACAATCATTGGCTATTAAAACGTACTTCCACATCTCCATCTCTATCTGTTCTGTTTCGTTCTTTCTCTAACACCACCAAAAACCCTACTTCTCCTCCTCAAGGACGCAAACCTAAACCTAAAGCCTTACCCAAACAACCATGCAATTTGGGTCCCAATCATCTTCATTCTGCTTTAATTTCCTTCAATCGCATGCTCCGAATGCGACCTTTGCCCCCAATTTCTCAATTCAACAAAGTTTTAGGCTCTATTTTGAAAATGGGTCATTATGCCACTGCTCTTTCTCTTATTCAGAACAAGTTGCAACAGTTCCAAGTTCAGGTCAATATCTGCACCTTCTGCATTGCTATTAACTGTTACTGCTACCTTAATCGAGTCGATTTTGGGTTGTCTCTTTTGGGGACCCTTTTCAAACGCAGTTACACACCTGATGTAACTACCTTCACAACTCTGATTAATGGACTTATTTTGCAAGATAAAACTCCTCAAGCTGTGGAGTTATTTAAGAAATTAATGAGAACTAGAGAAATTGAACCCGACGTGGTTATGTATGGAACCATTGTCAATGGACTCTGCAGAACGGGGAACACTATCAGGGCTGTTAGTTTGCTTAGGATAATGGAAGAGGGAAGTTGTAAACCTAACACCGTAGTGTATAGCATGATCATTGACAGTCTTTGCAAGGATAGAATGGTGGATGATGCTCTCAAACTCTTTTCTACAATGGATGAAAAGGGTATTTTCCCACATGTTGTCACTTATACTTCTTTGATTCATGGCCTATGTAATTTTGGCTGGTGGAAGGAGGCTACCAGAATGTTTAGAGAAATGTTGGATAGTGGTATTGCTCCAGATGTTCATATGTATAGTGTGTTGCTGGATGGATGTACCAAGGAAGAGAAGATGAAAGAGGCAGAAGGGGTACTTGAAGGCATGATACAAAGAAATATGGATCCTAATGTAGTCACATACAATGCTTTAATGGATGGATATTGTTTGCAAGGCCAAATGGATGAAGCAATTAGAGTGTTCAATACCATGGTGGATAGGGGCCTTCGCTCCAATGTTTTTAGCTATAACATTCTAATCAATGGATATTGCAAGAAAATGAAAATAGATGAGGCCATGCATCTCTTTCGAGAATTGCCTCGAAGGGGGTTGAAACCCGACAATGGAACTTTCAGTGCTATGTTATGGGGTTTGTTTCAAACAGGTAGATGTGGAGCTGCTCAAAAGCTTTTTAATGATATGCAAACTGCAAGCATAATTCCAGATTCTCAAACTTATGGTATCTTATTGGATGGGTTGTGCAAAAATGGGCACATTTCTGAAGCACTGTCATTATTCCGAACGATGGAAAACAACAGTTTACATCCTAATGTTGTTATGTACAATATTCTCATTGATGCATTCTGCAAGGATAAAAAGCTTGATATTGCAAGGGCCCTTTTCAATAACCTTTCTTCCAAGGGATTACAACCTGATGTTAAGACATACTACGATGATATAAGGTTTTTGTGAAGAAGGCCTACTGCGTGAAGCTAAAGAGTTGTTTGTTAAAATGGAACATAATGGTTGTTTGCCAAATGATGTCACTTACAACACTATTATCCGAGGATTTATTGGACACCACCCGTCAATACTTAACCTGTTCCAGACCCTATCGGCTCCAGCAGAAGGCCTCCAGCTGCTGTTCCAGACCTATTGAGCTCTTCTGACATTTCTCTAGGTGGTTTAGATTTTATTTTGATTCCTTAATTAGTGCCTTAGGACTTGCTTATTCTATTAGCTGTTATTTCCTTATTCTATTATTTTCTTATTTTGTGCCTCCAAGGCTTCCATTATAAGCTACCTATTATCAATATAAAAGGAAGTGATTGTCTAATCATTCTCTAAGTTAGTTTTCTCTCAACCAAAACCCTAAACCCATCACCCACACAGCCACCCACCACCATCAATACACCACCCGACCATCACCCGTCAATACTTAACCTGTTCCAGACCCTATCGGCTCCAGCAGAAGGCCTCCAGCTGCTGTTCCAGACCTATTGAGCTCTTCTGACATTTCTCTAGGTGGTTTCGGACCAGCCGACACCCATCCTAGGGTTTTTTCGGCTCAAACCGACAGCCTTCTGGGTATCTTCAGGCTTCTTCCATGGTCTGGTAGCTGCTTTTGACTTCCCTCTGGTCTTCTCCTATGTGTTTCGAACTCTCTGCGATAACGTCTAAGTGTTTCTTGACATCATATGTCTTGATAACACTCCTTGGTTCATCCTCTTTATTACTACTATGTTATTTTTCATTGTGGTTGAACCTAAGACTACTATTTTGATTGAAGTTTTACCTTTTTTTTTTATCATTTTATTTATTGTTTCGAGTGGTAAATGACCCCATTAATCTAAGTGTTATGCTCCCTTAGTAGTTTGTGTTTGAGATTGCTTGCCCATTCCATTCCCTCTTTCCATTATTATGATTAGTGCTGTGTTTTTGGTTAAGATAGTAGCATAAACATGGCTGACCCATCTAGTGAATCCTCTACTTCTCACCTATTTAAAGGGGAGAGTCCTATTCTAGTTATAACTATTACTTCTAAGAACCTGAACCCTAGCCTCAAAATCACGACCTCTCCTCTCTGTTTAATGGTCAGAATTACCTTGCATGGTCTCAGTGTCTTGACACTTTTTCTGAAAGGAAGGGGGAAGATGAGATATGTTGATGGGTGAATTCAAGCACAAGATATTATTGATCCTGGCTAGGATTAATAGGAGATTACCAAGTCTTTGATCATAGGGTGGCTCATTCATTCCATAGTCCTTGAGATTGGTGAATGTTATTTATCCGTAGAGACTGCCCTGGATGTTTGGGAGCCAGTAGCTGCTACATGTTCCCGGAAGGGGAATTTTTCTCAGTCATTTGAGTTTTGCCAGTCTATTGAGCACTCAGTATAGGGGGAGCAAACAGTTCTTCAATAGTATACCTTTCTGACTAATGGTTGGAAACAGCTAGATCATCTCTTGGATTACAAGCCTATTTGCACAGTTGACTCAGTTGGTTACTGGAAGTTTCTTGCTCAGGAGAGAGTCTTCAAGTTCCTGGAAGGCCTCAATGTGGAGTTTGACAGGGTCCGGAGTCGTGTCCTTGGCATAGATGTTCTTCCATCTCTTCAGGAGGCATTTGCTTATGTCCAGAATGAAGAGAGTCGTCGTTCTGCTATGTTACCACCGACTTCTATAGACCGTTCAGCATTACTTTTTGCACCTTCTCGGGATAGGGCTGGTTTGTCACTTCCTTCTTCTCATCCTTCCAGGAAGGATAATTTGTTCTGTGATTACTGTTGCTAGCCAAGGCATACTCGTGAGACTTGTTAGAAGCTTCATGGGACTCCATCAGGGGGTCGAGGAGATCGCTCTGGACGTAGAGGCGGGCATTCTAGTCAGTCGAGAGGACGTGGGTCTCACTCTCGTGCTCATCAGTCTAGTGCGTAGAGACACATGATTTAGCTCTGGTCATGCAGACTTCTGATCTCGTCTCTGGTATGTCATCTTTTTGAGTTTGAAGATGCTCTGTGCAATCTGCTTGATTGTCGGTCTCCTATTCCTCAAGGTGCATCTTCTGCTTCTTTTTCGTTTGCCCGTTCAGGTAACTTAGCTTCATCTTCTAGTGCCTTTTCATCCCATAAGGCCTTGCCATAGATTATTGATTCTGGTGTCTCAGATCATATGTCTAGGTCTTCTGATCTCTTCTTAGACTATACACCAGCCTCTAGTCAGGATAGAGTTAGGATTGCTAATGATACTATTTCTTGTCTTCGGAAAAGGCTTAGTCCATACCACCCCTTCTTTGCCTTTGTCTTTTGTTTTACATGTTCCTAATTTTTTTGTTAACCTATTGTCATTGAGTCATCTTACTAGAGATTTGAATTGTAGTGTAACTTTTTTCGTTGATTCTTGTTTTTTTCAAGACCTTTTCACGAAGAAGACGATTGGCAGTGGTAGAATAGAAAATGGTCTCTATATCCTAGGTCAGACTGACCAGTAGGCTCATCATTCCATCTAGTCTCCATCTACCAAGAAAGATTTTTGGTTGTGGCATCGACGTCTTGGACACCCACCATTTTTATTACTTAGACATTTATTTTCTTTTGTTTTTATCAAAAATAAAGTCTTTGAGTTTTATTGTGAGTCCTGCCTACTTGGCAAACAACATTGAGCCTCTTTGCAAGTATAAAAACCCATCATTGTTTGATTCTTTTAGCTTAAGTCATAGAGGAGCAACATCCATTGAGTAAGCGCACCTATTTTTCATGCTATTTATTGATTCTTTTGCTCATTCTCCCTTGTTTTTGCTTCCATTCCCCTAGCTATGTTTAGTGGGTTCATGAGAATATCTTTTGCATATTTGTGTTAGATAGTGGATAATGACATATGCAGGGTTATTATTTTGGTTACTAATTCTTTATTATTTGGTTATTGTTCAATTAAGGAATTTTACTCTTTCCTCTCTCTCTCTCTCTCTCTCTCTCTCTCTCTCTCGCAAAGTTATTGTTCATGGTACTTGAGGTCTACAACTAGATAGTGTTGATGGTACTTGAAGTTTTTTCTAGAGCTATTGTGTCCATTGATGGCATTGATTGCTTTTTAGGTATTCGAAGTGCTTTCAGTCTTAATTATATTTTTTTGTGAGTTTTGGGATAATTCTATTAGATTGAGAATTTTGGGTATACTATCAGATTGCAAAGTATCTCTCTCCATGTTTGATCAACATAAATCCTATTTTAGTGTGTTTTTTGGGGTTTGCCATGTTGCTATCAGATTGCAAGTTTTGGGTCTGCAAATTATCTTCTTGCCTTTTCTATTAGATTGCTATAGATTGTACATCAATTTTTTTGCTAATTACCAATGACCCGTACTAACGGCAAATTTTTTGGGTTGAAGTCGGATAAATACTTCATGATTAAGCTTTTTCCTTTTCATTGTTATGAATGTTGTAGAGATCTCTTTGTTTTTAGTATGATTTTGCTTGTACATTTATGCATTTAATTTTTCTTTTGTCTTTATGTATATGTGCCATATAGGTTTAAGGTTTATAATTTTTTGATAGTTCTTTAAAGAAAACCAATTATTTGTAATTATTTCTATACTATTTCTAACAATTGAAGTGAGTTAATTGTGAGAATATATATTGTAAATTTGGTATATTAGGAATTAGGTAATTTTAGGCAATTCCCTTTGCTTTGTATTTCCTTTTTCTATCATAGATTAGGGCTATATAACTGATGCACTCTTTGTAAACATACACAATTGAATATACAGAAAAGCTTTCAGGAATCTTACATGGTATCAAAGCTATCATTCATTATGGCTTCTGATTAATCGAAGTTCCTTCTTCATCGAAAGTTTCATCTGGTATAGAATCTGCCTTCGTTGAAATCACAACCTCTCGAGCACTAGAATCGCGACTCATCCCACCTGGTTCAAAACTCCTCTAATTCGTGATTGAATAACCCCCTCTGACTCGTTGAACTCAACTTTTGGCTCACGAGGTTGAGTTCTGGTTCTGATTATGGTTTTGGACTCGATCGAGTTCTCTGGTGGTCGACCCATCTGTGTTCATCATGACCCATCCGAGTTCGAGTCATGGCCTATCAACCGTAACCATCTGATTCACGAAAATCCTGGTCGTCTCCATCTGGTTTCATGAGGTCTACTCTGTCTCTCTCTTTCTCGCAATCTCTGTTTGATTCGCAACTATCTCGCAAAGGTCTCTCTCCCTCTAGAGGCCTCTCTTCCTTGACTTCGACTTTAGGTTCTTAGCTTCAGTCATTGATTCGACTTGGGTCTCTCTCATTTGGAGTTCTGTATTGCTTCGTGGTTGGTTTGATCACATTTGGTACAATTTTGGTTTATTACAGTTTGGCTTTATTATAATTTGGCCTATCCAATCTTTGTTTATCACACTTTGCTCCATCAATTATCTTTTTTGTTTTGGTTTATTTCGATGTCAAATACCCATCAGCTTTAACCTTCTACAAAGTTCAAGAAAGGGCCATTGGCTTCAGATGAGTGTGCCTTATGCCATCAGAGAGGTCATTGGAAGTATCATTGTCCCAAGAAAGGATGTTTGTCTGCTTTGCCTGTGTCTGCCTCGTCTTCTCAGCAATTTCCGATCAAGTTATGCGCTCCTCCTTTGAGTACTGTTCGGCCTCTCGCTGGTTCTACTACATCTACTCCAGCTCCTGATCCTGACTTGGCTTCTTTGACTGCTCAGATTAGTCAAATCAGCATATATTACCTACCTTTCAGCCATCTCCATCTACCTCCGTTGTTTCCTCTTTTCATTCAAGTTTGCTTGGGTCTTCTTCAGGTATCTCTTCATCTGTCTGGCTTTTTGACTCTGGTGCCTCTCATCATATGACTTCTCATCTCTCTTTACTTCAAAATTGTACTCTCCCTCCCTTTCCTATTACTGTTAATACTGCTAATGGGTCTAGTATGTCAATTATATTCGTTGGGTCTGTCCTATCATCTGCTATGTCTGCAATCTCTATTCCATCTGTCTTATATGTTCCTCAGTTATCTGTCAGTTTATTATCTATTAGTCAACTTGATGTCTCGGGTTTTGATGTTATCTTTTCTTCTTCTATCTGTTTTGTGCAGGATCGGATGTCCAAGCAACAGTTTGGGATTAGCCGTAGAGTTGGAGACCTCTATATGGTGGAGGGCTTGCATCTGTCTATAACTACCTCTCCGACTGCCTTTTCTTCTTTTCAGTTAGATTCTCTATCCAGTCCTTTCTATTTGTGGCATTCCCAATCATTTGTCTGCTGATCGCTTACGGTCTTTAGCTCAGTCAGGTATATTGGGTAAAGTTTCTCCTAGTCAACCTACCGAGTGTCGTGGGTGTAAACTTGCCAAAAAAACAGCCTTACCTTTCCGTAACAGTACTTCTATATCTGCTACACTGTTTTATTTAGTTCATACTGATGTCTGGGGCCCTTTTCTTTTTCTCACTAAGGGGGGTTCTGCATACTATGTATCATTTGTTGATGATTGCACCCGTTACACTTGGGTTTATCTTATGACTCATAAGTCCGATTTCTATCCTATATACCGTACATTTCAGTCTATGATTACTACTCTATGATTATCTGATAGGACCAAACTTAGTGCCTGGTCTGTCCTCTGTGTCTTTTTGGGTTGCAGTCTTGCTCAGAAAGGCTACCGCTATTATGATCCTATCTCTCGTCGCCTTTATGTCTCCCGTCATGTTGCCTTTCTCGAACCATTGTCTTACTTTTAGCTTCCCCCTCTCACTGCTCCAGTTTCCAAAGAGGATTTGGTTCACATTGACCTTTTTCCTTTTGAGGTCCCATCTGATGAGTACATCTCCACTGTTCCTCTTGAGCACATTCCTACTTCTCCGTTTGCGTCACCTATGCCTTCTTCTCCTCCTTCAGCTTCTTCTTCCCCTTCGTTGTTGGTCTATTCTTGTTGTCAGGCTCCCTCACCACTAGTTGTCTCTACTCCTGTTGATGCTCCTTCTGCTTCTGACGACTCTGATCCTGCTGCACACCGATATCCTACTCGTAGGTGTCGTCCTCCAAATAGGTTGGGTTGGTCTGATACATGTTTTTCTGCTTTCTATCGTACTTTTTGTTTGTTATTCATTCTTTTTCAGAACCACAGTCTTATACAGAGGCCTATCAGGATCCTAATTGGGTTGAAGCTATGGGGGATGAGTTGTTTGCCTTACAAAAGACTAACACTTAAGAGTTAGTTCCTTTGCTTGCTGTAAAGAATCTGGTTGGTTGCAAATGGGTGTATAAAGTCAAGACTCATTATGATGGTTTTCTCGAGCACTACAAAGCTCGTTTGTTTGCCAAGGGTTTCTCACAGGAGTATGGTATTGATTATGAGGAAACCTTTGCCCCTATTGCCAAGATGACTACTGTCCGTACCTTGATTTATGTTGCTGCTGTTCGACATTGGCCTTTCTATCAGATGGACGTTAAGAATGCTTTTCTTAACGGTTATCTCATTGAGAAGGTCTACATGCGTTCTTCCCCTGGTCTTCTCCACTCCTCTGGGCAGGTTTGTCGTCTTTGGCGTGCTTTGTATGGTTTGAAGCAGTCTCCTCATGCTTGGTATGATCACTTTCAGACTGCCGTTACCGAGCTTGGATTTCATCCTTCTGCTTCCGACTCTGCTTTATTTCTGAGATATACCTCGGCTAGTTTTGTTGCTCTCCTACTCTATATGGATGATATGATCATCACTGGCTCTGACTCTTCTGCTATCTTTGAGGTCAAGCAACATCTCTTCCGCACCTTCGAAATGAAAGA